TATTCCTTAAAATTTCTCTCTCACCACAATCTTCACCAGTAATACAATCTACAAATAACATATTATTTATAAATATTAGTTTCAATTTTTGAAACTAATAAAATAATTCTAATAATAGAATTAAAAATATAACATAATTCCTAATCTCAATCTTAATACAAATCTATAGTTAATACTATTAAGTAAAATTTTTAACTCCTCTTTTAATTATCAATAAACATTAATAATCTAAAAATCAACTTCTAAATTAATTTCTATTATCAAAATTTTCTTTTTATTTCATAAATTCGTACCTAAAATACCCAAAAATTAAAAATTGAGTCTCTAGCTTAGAATCATAATCCTATAACCATAATAATTCATTTCTCATCCCAAATAATCATCTAAACCTCAATAAATTAACATATATTTTCAGATCTAGTCTAGAATTTGATCCATAAGTCACAAATTCAAAGATCACCAATAAATTTATACTCTAGAATATTTATTATACTACTAACAACCTCAAAAACCATATTTATTCAATATAAATTCATCCCTCTTCTAGATCTTAAATTTTTTACCACTACAAAATCAGAAACCAAAGAAGAAGGATGACTAAGAAAAAATTTTAGAACACTTACTTAGTCTTAAAAAGTTTAAAATCACACCCTAAATATCCTATTAAAAACTCTTACCTTGAAACCCAGCACCGGTGAATTTGGCTCACAGATGCTCTCTCTCTGCCTCAGCTCACGCACGAAAGAAGGAATGAAGAAATGAAGGAACAGGTGAGTTTTTATAAAAATTCAGTGGGTCCCACATATTTTTTTTATTCTTTTTTCTCTCTTCTTTCTCTCTTTCTTTATTATTATTATTTTACTATTGTTACTATTGAGGCGGCCGCACGTTTTCTTCCTCTTTTTTTTTGCAAACCTTTTCCTTTTTTTATTATAATAATAATTTAATAATATATATTTTTTATTTTTTTTATTTTTTTAATTATTTTTTTAATTTTTTTATTTAATTAATTTTTTTTTAGAATTATATCCTAAGTTAGATTTAATAATCATCTCTTACTAATTTTTTTACATCTAAATATTATTTTTTTATTTCTATTAACCTAAATTAATTATTAAAATTTAAATTGGGATGTTACATGAGGCAAGGATCTGCTTCCATGCATTCATACTTATAAATGTAATATTCTTATGACACCTGGGAGAGTGACAATTAAGTTTCGAGACTAATTATTTAACTTAAGTTTCAAACAATTTTAGAATATCAAGTAAGTCTTTTGGTTTTCAAGTGACATTATCTTAATAGATACATGAATATTCAACTTTGTATTTCAATTTCACAAATTTCACAACTTTGTTACGATGAATTTATAATTTATTTTCTCAATTTTAAGAAGAAATATAACTTGCAAGTTTGGCTTCCAAAATTTGAAATCTCCAATTAATGAATTTGTAACTTATTTTTTAAATTATAAAAAAGAATCTAAATGTTAATATTTAGAGTTAAAAAAGTTATTATTCTGCTCAAGGAATCAAATTTTCAAGCCTAATTCCCCATTTTGCAATTTTAAATTGATAAAGTTGCAACTTACTTTCTAAATTTTAAAAGAAAATGCATGTGTTAATGTTTAAAGTTGAAAAGTAATAAAGTCATTATCCTAATAGTTTAAGAGATTTGCAAATTTGACTTTTAATTCTACAACTTTAAATTGATAAATTTACAATTTTCTTTTTAAAATTTAATCATATGTTTAATCTAAGGATATTAAAATCATATTCTTTATAAATTATACGTGTAGAAAAGCGCATTAAACTTTATTGTTATTCAAAAATTAATTAAAATTTAAGTTGAATTAATTAATCTTTTTTAGACTTACTCTGTCATTCTCGAGTAGAGGTAAAAATATGAGCCAACGTGATCCATATGAGTTGACTCATGTAAGTTGAGAGAAATATGCGTTAAATTGGGTTCAATCTGTTTTTATATGAGTTAAAAAAATCTCAACCCAACCTTTAAGGGTTGGTGGGCTAAATGGGCCAACTCGCCAACCCATTTTTTTATTTTTAAAATTTATTTTTTTATTTTTTTAAAAATATATTTAAATAATAAGTTTTAATTTGATATTTCTTCATGATTCATTTTAAATATATCAAAATATTATTTCATAATATTTGTATAAAATATATAAATTGATACAACTAATTCAATCATACTTGATATGGTTTACATTCACAAAATTTTCTCCCTTTTTCTTTTTTTTTAAATTTTTTTAATAGTAATACGGGTTAAACAGGCCAACCCTAATCCATCAAGATTAACCCACATGATTCACGAGTTATATGATCCAGCCAAAAAAAAATTTATTTTTATTTAAATCAATTTTTTTTCAACCTAACTCGATCCTTATGATCGATTATTTGAACCAATTCACATAACACGACCCATATTCTCGACTTTATTTTTTAAAATGTATTTTCATGATACGAGGGAGCGGGGGATAATATCATTAAAGACCCACATTGAGTTATGAAGAAGAAAACCTTGGCCGAGACATGCATTTCTTGCCAACAATTTTTTTCCCTGAAAAAATGTAGCCACGATTTTTTGATAGCCAATGTAATTATTAATTTTTGTTAGTAAATATAAGAAATAGCCTCCATTGACAATACCACAAAAATTGTAACATAATTATCACACTTCATAATAATTACGGCTCATTTTCATATTTTAAAGGTGTCTTCTTCTCACTCTATCTTTGATCAGCAAAAATAATTTTTATTTTTTCTGACTCATAAAAAATTAATTATACATGGTATTATATGCCGTCATGGATAAGTGAGTGGCACGTTTCAATTTATAGTATCAATCAATCAATTAGTTAATAATAACTATTTGGTAATTAAGCAATTAATCATCATTTATAAAATATGTAGCCAACATTTATAAATATAAATGTTTGTAATTCGATACATAGTTTTTGACCAAAAAAATTCTATACTTACGACATACTCCCTCCATTCATTATTATAATGTATTTTTAATTGGGTTACACCATCTAATATGTGCTTCAATTAAAATTTTTTATTAACTGCAACTCTTAATTGAGAAAATTTTTGGAAAAACCTTATTAATTATATCTTGAAAAATCCAAAACGAAAAAATTCCTTATATTTTTAAATATCTCACCCTAAAAAAATTTTATATTTTTAAATAAAAGAATTAAATAATTATTTATATCATTTTAATAGAATATCCCCGATACGGATTTTTCTATACCTGACTATTATAAAATCTAAAAACATATATTAAAATAATTTGTTATTATCCAATTAAAATCAATTTACATTAAGTCAAAATAAATATTATATTCGTGCAAACCATATGATTTCTTTTCTAGTTTTTTTGTGGTACAAAGTTTTATTTCTAATCAATTTTGACGACTTGTAACTTTGAGCAGGCCCCATGCTAACAAAAGAGATCAAAATTGACCAAATTTTTGTGGTATGCTCTTCTAATTCTATTTATATAACAGATAGTATTTATTTTAATTTTATTTATAAAATATTTTAATTATTATTTTTTTATATTTATTTTTTGTCTTTATTAAATGTTGATAAAAATATTAAATATTAAAACATTTTATTTTTAACTTATAAATAAAATTAGAGAGAGAATTTAAAAAATATGAGAAGATGCAATAGGCAAATATGCATACATCAAACAACATAAAACAGGAGAGATTCACAAAAATCATAGATTAAAAATCATTTTATCTGTTAAAAATATAAAAAAATTTTAATTAAATCTCATTCTAATAAAATAATTAAATATTTTTAAATTAATATCATTCTATCATATTTACCCATATTTAATATGATATTTTAATTTAAATTAAATATAAAATAATTTATTTATTATGAGTATTTTTAGAAAAAAATAAAATTATTATACCTTAAAATATAAAAAATACTTTATATTTTTAACACTCAACCAATCAAAAAATAATTTATATTTTTAAACAAACGAGAATAGTATAAAAATTTTTTTAATTAAAAAAATATGAAAAGGTTTTAATTTTTTGTCAATCCGCATTTCCATGAACACGCATCGAGGGCCTCACCTCAGGGCTCAGGTTACTTGTAAAAGTGCAACGATAAAAAAATAAAAAGAGAAGTTTTCAACTTATTTTTAATATCCAAACATCATTTGATTACTTAAAAAAATGAAAATAGAATGAGTCGAAAAAATTATTTTTTTATAATACACATAATAAAATTTATTATTATATGCCATAAATATAAAAATTATTATATCCTTAAAAAATATTATAAATTATGATTCTCGATCCTATAAATTAAATTATTTTTATTTTTTTAGCAATGTGATTCACCCATTTTTTAATCATTTTATCTTCAATTATTTTTTATTCTATTAATGTTATAAATTATATTTTTAATTTTATAGATTAAATTACTTTTGTTTTGTAAGAATGTGATTCACCATTATTTTCTAATTATCTTATCTTCCATTTCTCTTCCACATGCAAGTAATACCTAAAATGTAAGAAAAAGAAGAGAAAATATAATTTTAAACTTTTATATTTTATTTAAATTTTGCTGTAAATTTTTATACTCTTTTAATGTTTTAAATCTTTATTTTTTATTTTTTAATTTTTTAAGTTTATGAAACATAAAAAATAAAAGTATAAAAACTTGTAATATAAAAAAAAAGTATAAAAATTTACAACAAAACCCGAGTAACATGACCCAAATTTCCCTGCAAAGAAAGTGCTGTAATACTGTAATTTATAACAAAAGTCGGGTAAACTGACACAAACTTCGTGCAAAGAAAGTGCTGTAATACCGTTCCATTTCAATAGTTGTCGTTAGCCTGGACGCCAGCTATGACGCGGTCTTTGAAATCAGCGTTGGATAACTGAAACCGGGGGAGTTTCGCACGTTTTGTTTGTGTATAAAATGCTCACCTACTACCCCTCTTTTATCCTCTTCACCATCCTATCCTTTCATTCATCTTCCCGGCTGCGCTTTTTAACCTGGCTCACCTTCTACACACGGAAATCGTCTCCCACAGCTAAGTCTTTTCATCTCTCTCTTTCTGTCTTGCTCCTCTTATTCGCCTTCATCTTCCTTGATTCTTGATTTCTGTCAGTTTCCAAACTCGCGTCTTTGTAATCCGATCTCCTGGAGATCAAGGGTTTCCGGCTTCCTAACCGCAGTTGATTTGGTCTTACTTGTGGTTTGAGAGGAATAACCTCAATGTTTTCGAAATTTCTATGATCTCTGCCAACCCCATGCGTCGAATTCGTCTGCTGCACTCCTTCTCGGTTGTGTTTTTATACTGGTTCTATGTTTTCTCATGAACGATTACTTCTATGTAACTGGTTGATCTATATAGTGCTCTAACCATTAGATTGTCAATCCTATTTCCTTCATTTTTAACCATCATCCGATCAAATTTGTCATTACCGGGTCATAAGACGATGGCCTCGATTCAACGCACTGCAAGCTCGGGATCCGAAGGGGTAGACCCGCGATATAGCGACTTTGATGAGAGAAAGAGAAAGAGGATGCTGTCCAACCGTGAGTCGGCACGACGATCCCGGATGAAGAAGCAAAAGCAACTCGAAGATCTTGCAAGCGAAATCGGCCGACTAAAAAATGAAAACAGTCAGCTGTTTCAGAGCATAAAGGCCAAGGAGGAAGCATACGCTGAGATCGAATCCGTTAACAATGTCTTGAGGGCTCAGACTAAGGAGCTGACCGATCGATTGCGTTTTCTCAACTCGATCCTTGAGATTGCTGAAGAGGTCTGTGGGCTTTCTGTTGAAATCCCTGAGATACCGGATGCTCTCTTGAACCCATGGCAGCTTCCCCTTCCAATGCAGTCGATCATGGCGTCCGCGGTCGACATGATAATGCATTGATGTTATGCAAGCCTTTTTTATTATTGGCACATCCCCTGCTCCGTCCTTCCTGGTATGGTGGATTTTAGTTCAGTTAAACTATGTGTAATGAGTCTGTTAGTTTTCTCTGTTGCGTATCCAATATCCTTTATTGTTTGTTTTCAAATAACGTGGGTGTTTCTGTCAGACTTGAGCAGTTCGTGGTTATGTAGATTGTATTATTGAATGAAGTGCTTTTGTGTTTGTGTCTTCTAAGTAATGGTTTTGTCTAGTTTAATCTCGGTATTTGTAGATTTCCTGCCGCTGTTTGAAACGATTATTATCCAAATTATACGCTGTAATCATAAAAAGTCGTGACTTCGGACTTTTTGATTGCTTTTGGCTGAAAAAAAAAAACCATAAATTGGCGGCATTTGTATTCTTTTCGATTATTGAAACCAAAGACATTTTGTATTAGATAATTATAAGGGCGGATTACTCTAATCTACCCTCCAATTAGCTTTGATCGTATGCATAGACTTTCTTTTTTCTCTTCATTTTAAAAATTTTAGTCTAATTTCTTAGCTCTTGCGAGAATATTCTTAAAAGATTCCAACTACTCCTATTTACTATTATCTAAGAATGATTTTAAAATAAATTTATGTACTGATTTGCTATCACTTGTTATCACAAGTCCGGAAGTCCCAATTTCTCATGGACGAAGTTTGGGACTTAAGGAAAGGAAGAAAGAAGGTTAACGCGGGTAATGGGATCGCTGAGGTGGTGTCGGGAAAAGTTCTTTCTCGGATTTAAATATATGAAGTTTGGCATCGAAATTTATCTTTTAAGAAAGTAATAAAAAATTTTATATTTATAAAATAAAAAAGATACTTTTGAAAAGATTCACATGTATACAGAAACTTTAATTTCAGGTGATTTAAAATCTTTCTTTCTTGCATATTGCGTCATTTTGAGAAAGGTTTTCCAGGTTGTAGGATCTTCTATTCTCATTGCTTTTATCTCCTTTTAGCCTTTTTTTCTTTTTAAAAAAAAGATGGCAACGTGCGCGAGATAAGCGTTCATATCCGGATAAGCTTAAATAGATACATTCCAGCATTTCTATTCCCAAAAAAGAAAAACTATATTTTTTTTTTGTTGCTCAGGTGAGGATCACTGCTTATTACCGTGAGACCAATCCTCTAAAGAATCTGAGTATCATTGAAGAGATTATTCTATCTCAATTAACACATTCAGAAACCTGGAATACACACATTCAGAAACCAAAATTCTGGAATAATGCTTAAGAAGCCCATGCTATTACTCACATTCACTTGGTGGTATGGAGGATCCATGGTGGCCAGAGCTACCTTTTTAATAATAGAAAGGTAGTCAAAGCTACCTATGCAAGGCTCATGGTGGCCACGCAAGGCTGATCCTTCTCTAACATGTTCTAGAAGCTTAAGCAAAGGTTGAAGAATAGCATGAAACCTGAGTTTTGTCGTGAGTCCATTCTTTGCCGGCCAATCGGCAACCCTATTGAATTTGTGGTGAGCATGCATGAGTTTAACTACCCAATCTCTTTCCAATATTTTTGTCTGACTTTCGATATTAAATTGAAATCATGATGCTTAAGATTAGGCTCCTCCATCACGTGTTCCAAAGCCACAAGAATTAGTTTCCAAGACAATTTTTTTTAAAACCAGTATCTCACGCCATTTTGAGTCCAAGAAGCATTGCCCAGATCTCAGCATAGAGGTTGTCCAGACAAACCAAACGACTTGTGAAATCACAAAATAAATCTGTCACAAGCATCTCGTAAGAGCCCTCCACTAGCTACAACATTATTGACAGTCGAGAAGGCACCATCTACACTCACCTTCGTCCACCCATTACCAAGCGGCTTCGGCCCCTCATTCCTCTCACTACTGTTAACTCTTGAAGTCACATGAACTCCCGACTTACGATTAGCTTCATTAGATTCTGGACCATCACCTTCACACACATGACAACTTTATCAAGATCAGTCTATATTTGTTCAAACACAAACAAGTTTTGCCTTTTCCACAATCCCCAACATATCACAATAAACAACACCCTCCAATCCTCGTTTGCAAGATATTACGAGTGATCCAATCCTTTAACGGTGTACTCACGAAGCGGTGCCAAAGAGATGCAGTGATTAGTTTCCTCCACATCGATCTAGTTCTTGGGCAATCACGCAACACATGCATGATGTTCTTCGATGCTTCCTGACATACTGAGCACCCATTGTCCATGCATAGTCTACACCTCTCTTCCTAGTAACGTTTGTGAGCAATCTATTCTTGTAAGCTAGCCAAATAAATGATCAGCATTGTTGAGGAGCTTTAACTCTCCAAATTTTATCCCAAACAAGATCCTGTTACGGCTCATTCATTGATAATATGCTATACGCTGATTTAACAGAGAATAGCGCATCCTTTTCCCTCTGCCAACGCACACTTTTGCCATTATTAATTAGCTCAATACCGGCTTTCACCTTCTCCCATGAAGATTTTATTCCAGGCCAGACGTTGGAACCAGGGTGTTTCATATCAATTTTTTGGGATCAAGTTATCCCTGCAATGATATTTACTCCTCATAACCTCACCTAGAAGTCATCACCATTTTTGCAAAGCCCCCAACCCAATTTCATAAGAAATGCGTGGTTTTGATTTCTTGCACAGTTTAGACCAAGTCCACCACATTTTTTAGGTTGGCAAACTTCATTCCATGCCACTAAATGCATACATGGGCATTCCCCATTAGTGCCCTAAAGAAACTCATGGTTGCACTTATCTAGGATATCACATGTACAGCTAGGAAGCAAGCATGTTTGCATGAAATTACTTGAAATGGCCGAAGCAACAAATGACACAACGGCGGTTCTACTTGCACGCGCACACCCCCGGGGGGGGGGGAGATAGAGAACTAGGTTGCCATTTGGCAAGTCTACTCTTCACCTTAATTATCTTGAAAAGTAGTTTTATTTGCCCTTTCGTGAAGCAACAGAACATTAAGATACTTAGCTAAATCCATAGTTCGAGAGAAACTCAAGCAAGAGCTGATCTCCATACACTTGTTATGATTTACATTTTCTAAAACGAAAATTTGGGTTTTCAAAGAATTTATCTTATGCCTAGATGAAATGCAAAAACCCCTCAAGACAAGAATTAATAATCTCAACTTGTTGTAAATTCGCTCTGGCGAACAAGAAAATGTCATTTACGAAAAAATAGATGAGAAATGGGAAGACCATCCTTCTGAAGATGAATTGGCTTCCGTACTCATTCATTAATTTTAAATTAAATCACATGAGCCAGCTTTTTCATATAAATTACAAACAAATAAGAGGACATAGAATCCCCTTGTTTGGTCCCTCGTGAAGGAGAAAAACTACATTCTATTAAGATGGTGAAAACGTGAATTTCAGCAACATGAAATTAGGTTGCAAAAGAAAATCTTCAATATGTGCATATTGCTATATTAGGGAAACCGTTTCAATCATTGATTATCCCGATCAAGAGATCATCACGATCTAATTGTGGATACTGGAAATGGCGATAGAATATTAAACCGATTACCTCATCCCATAACAGAGCAGGCTAATGAGGGCACCCATAAGGCCACAACAAGCCGAAACTTGAATTGGGGCCAGGCATTAATCACCCAAGGACGTAGATGCACTAATTAAGTCACTAAACGTATATGCCCAAGAGTCAACGCGCGCAGGAACATCACGACATCAAACTATTAATCATATCCATGAAACGCAATTAAATAAACTTCGTACGTTACTTTTTGTAAATAAACAAGGCTTTTTCCTCTGTATCAATGGTGACAAGTAGGTGGTTTGCTTCGTGGATCACGCTTGGTTCAAAATTAATTATTTAAACATGCCAGACCATTCATATCATGTAACATAGAACGCTAAAGAGTAAAAAACACATTTTTGACAAGTTTTGATATCAACCCTCTCAGTTATCATATGTGCGGCACTCGTCCGTCTCTGGGTTGTCCTGGCAGTAGTTCTCCAGTGGATCCGCCTCCTTCTTACGGTCTCTGGCATGGCTGGCCGCCGCGCTTAGCTCCTCCACTTCATCCCACGCCGCCACGCACTCACCGCTCGCCGGGTTGTCCGAGCACGTCTCCTCTGCCTTCTTTATGCTCTCTTCCACCTTCTCCGATATACGATCCGGCGCTGCACGCAGTGGCCGAACTGCCACCATCCGGCCCGACCCGAATCTTTGGCCTATGATCGCCGGGAACTTGACTGTATGGGCCTTTTGCGACTCCGATGCCCTGACCAAAACCCCAGGTCCCGAAAGGCTCAGACCAGCTATGGTTGCCATTTATTCGCTTTCTTCTTCCTCGGTTACCTTCCGTATCCACGCCGATCGGGCTTGTTACTCAGGATAAGATGAGTTCGATTACGGGATTGGGTTTGGGGAGTGCGAAGGTATATACGCGAGGCCGATGAAGATTTGTGTACACTTATTTCTTATCTGGTGTCAGCCAATGCTGAGCTTCCACGTCGAAACCACTTTGAGATATTTTACATTGAAAAAAGAATCTGTCTTTCCTTGTTTTTTCTTTTTATCCCAACGACTAGTGAACGGCCCTCGGACAGTGAGATCAATGATCATGACACTCGCAACTTCAGCCGTTGGATCTGGATGGGACATCAGAAAAATCGTGACGTGTTTGCAAGAGTTTGAGTGTGTGTTTGGATTGACCTTCAACTGGGTTAGGAATTGGGTGGGTCCTAGCCTCGTTGGAAAATAAAAATTTCATTAACCTTGCTGAAGTCTTGTTTGGCTTAAAAGAAAAAAGAAAAAATGATAATAAAGTCCAAAAAAATTAATTTTATTTAAGGTAAATCTTAAAATACTTTGAAAAGCCAGTTAAGTTTCATACTGTTTTTCACAAATCAGACTTACAAAAGAAATGACGAAAATGTTCATATGATTAAATATAACATGTACACTTATTAGCTTCAGCATTTCCCTCCCAATTTGTCTCTTTCCCGCCATTAATGAGAGCTGCATATAAGTGGTGGGGCTGCATATTGAAAAATATCATTCCTAAAACAGAGTTGTGCTTGGAAGAGATGGAGTTGCCTTAATTACTGACTCAAGGAAGCTCAAGAAGTTGTGCTGGTGTATTTAGACAGATGTGTCTTTTTTTTTCAAATCCCTGCATTTGAACAAAAAAGTTTACTCTATTAAGATTTGATTTCTTGCAAAATGACTCTCATAAGGGAAAAGATAGAACGGTTTATTACAACTAAACATGAAATTTTTTTTTATTTTATGTTTCTAAATATTTGGCATGAAGATTCAACATTTTGCAACTGAAAGTATAAGAATTTATCATCGAGTGTCCATATCTTAAGATGGAACGCTGTCATTGTTTTACCAATGCAAAAATCACTTATGTCAAAAGTAACTTGTTTTTAAGTGATATATTATTATATTTTATTTTGTTTATTGTAGATTGATATTATTGGGTACGATGGAATATAGTTGTTTTAAAAAAAAATTTTGTTCTCAATATCAACAGAAGAAGGTTTATCATTGTTCTCATTGTCATGAAGCAGGTCATACATGGAAGAGGTGTAGAAATCCAAATCCAAGTTGATGTTATTGTAAATGGGTTACCACATGAACTTAGATTTGGGTGATATACATATACGGGTAGTTTTAGATCAAGTTATATTTGGTTAACATATATAAGTTTTTGTACATATATATTGATAGTATTATGGAATTTTTTTGGTACATAGCAACTCCTATTTTATAAATCTAAGTTCATGTTTTTGTGTATGTTGACAATTAATATATGCAAATACATTAGATGAATTAATACATGTAGCTTATATGTACAGTTCATATCTTCTGTAATCACTAAAAGTGTGTTGTCTTAAAATTTCGAACAGAGGTTGCAAATTATTTATAAGGCAGTTGCAAAATTTGGTATGTCAATTGCAAATTACCGGGAGCCATGTCCTAAAATAATTTGGTAGCTTTGCAAGTTTAAGAATTCAAAAGTTATTCCACCCAAAATTTTGAGAATGAGTTGTAAATTATTCGTAAGAAAGTTGCAAAATTTAATATGTTAGTTGCAAATTACTGGAGTTATATCCTAAAATAATTTGATAGTTTTGCAAGTTCAATAATTTAAAAGTTATTCCACCCAAAATTTTGAGAATGAGTTGCAAATTATTCGTAAGGAAGTTGCAAAATTTAGTATGTTAGTTGCAAATTACTGGAGTCATGTCTTAAAATAATTTGGTAGTTTTGTAAGTTCAAGAATTCAAAAGTTATTTCACTTAAAATTTCGAGAAGGAATTACAAATTATTCATAATAAAATTATAAAATTTGGTATGTCAATTGCAAATTACTGGAGCGTTATCCTAAAATAATTTGATAGCTTTGTAAATTCAAGAATTTAAAATTTATTCCATCTAAAATTTTGAGAAGGAGTTACAAATTATTTGTAATAAAATTGCAAAATTTGGTATGTCAGTTGCAAATTATTGGAGCCATATCTTAAAATAATTTGGTAGGTTTGCAAGTTCAAAAATTCAATGGTTCTTCCATCCAAAATTTGGAGAAGGAGTTGCAAATTATTTGTAAGAAAGTTATAAAATCTGATGTCTCAATTGCAAATTATTTGAGCATTATCTTATAGTAATAACTTTAAGAATTCAATAGTTTTTCCACCCAAAATTTTGAAAAGAAGTTGCAAATTATTCATAAGAAAGTTATAAAATCTAGTGTCTAAATTACAAATTACTAGGGTGTTGTCCTACAATAATAACTTTCTTAAGAAATCAATGGTTATTTCACTCAAAATTTTGACAAGCAGTGGCAAATTTGTCTCGAGATAGAAGCAAAAATGGATACCTAAGTTGCTTGGCAACTTGATTGATTGGGTATAATGTATGACTTGAACATTACAAATATGTTTCACTGTTAGAAGTTGGGAATAAAATTGTGAAAACAAATTATAGAGTTACAAAGTTGCAGACTTAATTAATTGGGTATAATGTATAACTTTAAATTTAAAATTCATTTGAGTATGTCCTCATTTGTATAAACTATATAGTCCCCCTTCAGCTAAGATACTCAGGGAAAAAAATTGAAGAAGAAGCAATTTCTACATAATTAAAATGGTGAATGTTGATGAGGATCAGACTCTTCAGCTAGGCAAATGCATCACACCCATCAAAGATTGATGACCAAAATAGATTACAAATTAATGACCTAAGCCATTGATCACTTAGGGCAGAGAAGAGACATCAAATAGGACTAGAATAGAGATGACAGACAGCTTTATTGGACAGCCCGGGAAAGAGACAACAGAGAGCTTTACTCGCTTGTAATGAGACAGGGAAGAGATGACGAACAGGGCAGGGAAGAGTAGAGAAAGAGCAACTTTAAATTTTCATCAGCTAAATAAGAGTATTTTGGTCATTTCTCATTATATTAAAATGCTACTCAAGGACCTAGGGATTTAACTGGCCTTTCAGAATGTCTTGAGACTTACTTTGAATAAAATTGATCCTTTAAGACTTAATTGTCATTGTCCCAAAAAAAAAATATCAACGCACTTCAAGGGTTAAATGAGCTTTCCCACTTCTCATCGAAGCCTAAATTTTGAACTTCGCTTGACACGCTTCAATTTCAAAATGTTGATGACCATTAAATAATTGTCAGATTCTCTCTCATTCTCATCCTTTCATCTCTTCTCTTCGCCTGATCTCTGCTTCTCATGCATGCAATTATCGCCACCGCCTCCTATCGAGGTGCCTTCTGTCGAGTTGGCTTTTTCTCCTCTCTTATTCGATTGTTATTTCCTTTTACTAGTCGCTAATCATTGTGCATGTATCCCATCCTCATTCTGTTCTCTGCTTTCCATTCTTTGCTCTCTAAGATCTGCATTTTGATTTATCTATTGATAAATAAAGAAATCAAATGGGACTTTCCTTTTTGATTAATGGAATGGGAGGAGATTAGAGGTGACGAAAGTTACTAATTATATAATATGAGGATTGAGAAGGGAGTGCACTCAGTGGAGGTGAAAAAAAAGAGAGGAAAGAAGCGAGGGGTGAGTTGAGGAGGAGGGATTTAAGCAGCAACAGTGATGGCCTGATGGGGATGAAGGAAGGACCATAAAAAAGATGAGAGGATTAATTATAATATTATACTACAATTTATTTATATTATAATTATAATACATATTACAATTTTTTTGGATCTGAATTCTCTAAATTACAACATTAAAATATAATTATAATTATAATATGTGATAATATGGATTAAATTAGCATTTAATTTATAATTTATTATTTTATTTCATGTTTTTTAGTTACAAAAATATATATTATATCTATTTTTATTATTATATGTTTCAATTGACTTTTGAATAAAATCATTTAAATAAATTTTACTTTGTGCAACTAGCTTTTTAAAATTTTTTATAAATTAACTATCTATATATATTTTGAATAGTGCATATTTAATATTTTTTTTTAAATTTTTATATATTTTTAATATTAAATGTGGACAATTTATATTAAATGTGGACTATTCAAACTAATAAAAAATTATTAAAAAAATATAATTTATATAATCATTTTATTTTAATAAATATAAAATAAAAAATATTAAATCCACATCATATAAATCTGGAGGGTCATTGAAGGTGCGGATTTTAACATAGCTTTTCCTAGATTACACTATACACATCTAGTAGGGCTAAGCAATGAGGCAAGATAGGCTAGCCTGAAAGATTGCCTGTATAAGTTAAAAAGGACACGGGCTAGCCTATACTCATAGTTAGCCCATTGTTACTTGTTTGAAAATGGGCTAGGCTAATTTGCACAGGTTAGACAAGGTACATGCTAGCCTATTTTCACTCGCAATACCACAAATTTCTATAAGAAAAAAAAAGATAAAATCAAGAAGAGGAGAAATTTAAACTTCAAATCTGTATTATGATCAACAAATTTATAGATCTACAGACATGGGATAAAGCAACAGGAGAGATCTTGAACACAGTCAACAAATTTGTAAATCTAAAACAAAGCTTAACCAACAAGAGAGACAAACAATAAGTCAATTAAAAACAGAAGAGATGAGCTACATGGCGTCAATGGGAAGTGATAGAAGAGGGAACGATGGTGACTCCACAAGTAAGGTAGCAGCAACATTAACTTCGTGAGTTTGAGGCAATGACAACAACAACTCTGTGAATTTGGACTCTAAATCTAGAGTGGAAGGATGTGACGTAAGGCCTTGAAGTTTGAAGAAGAATAGTAGCTTTAGTCTTGAGAGCAAACTCTGTTCGAGTTTGAGATCTTATGAGGGAAGAGTGGAGCAGCTATAGCATTTGAGGAAGGTGTCATTGTGCTTGGGAGAGGAGGGAAAGAGGCA